CATCACAGCCATCACAACCATCACAAGCATCACAGCCATCACAATCATGACAACCATCACAACCCTCACAACCCTTACAACCATCACAATCATCACAGCCATCACAGTTATCATAACTAACCACCACAGCCATCACAATAATCACAGTTATCACAACCATCACACGCATCACAGCCATCACAGCCATCACAACCATCACAAGCATCACAGCCATCACAATCATGACAACCATCACAACCCTCACAACCCTTACAACCATCACAATCATCACAGCCATCACAGTTATCATAACTAACCACCACAGCCATCACAATAATCACAGTTATCACAACCATCACACGCATCACAGCCATCACAGCCATCACAACCATCACAAGCATCACAGCCATCACAATCATGACAACCATCACAACCCTCACAACCCTTACAACCATCACAATCATCACAGCCATCACAGTTATCATAACTAATCACCACAGCCATCAAAGCCATCACAACCATCACAAGCATCACAGCCATCACAATCATCACAGCCATCACAGTCATCACAGCCATCATAACTAACCACCACAGCCATCACAGCCATCACAACCATCACAAGCATCACAGCCATCACAATCATGACAACCATCACAACCCTCACAACCCTTACAACCATCACAATCATCACAGCCATCACAGTTATCATAACTAATCACCACAGCCATCAAAGCCATCACAACCATCACAAGCATCACAGCCATCAAAATAATCGCAGTTCTCACAACCATCACAATCATCACAGCCATCACAACCATCACAAGCACCACAGCCATCACAATCATCACAACCATCACAACCCTCACAACCCTTACAATCATCACAGCCATCACAGCCATCACAAGAATCACGACGAACCACCACAGCCATCAAAGCCATCACAACCATCACAACCATCACAGCCATCACAATCATCACAGCCATCACAACCATCACAAGCATCACAGCCATCACAATCATGACAACCATCACAACCCTCACAACCCTTACAACCATCACAATCAGCACAGCCATGGCAGCCGACCATTACAGCCATCACAGCCATCACAACCCTTACAACCATCACAACCGTCACAGCCATCACAACCATCACAATCACTGTCATCGTCGGCATCGTCGTCACATAACCTTAATCATACTCGTCACGATCATCATCAGCAGCAGCATCAGCATCATCAGCATCATAATAATAATAATAATAATAATCATAATAATCATAATAATACTAATAATAATGATAATAATAATAATAATAATAATCGTCATCATCATCACGGACCCCGCGACTAAGCCAGCCAACCCAGCCAACCCAAGCAAACAAACGACAGGATAAAAGTTCCATGTCATTTTAACTGTCCACCCTTGTGGAAATGATGCAGGTCGTTGGTCGAAGTGATTCATACTAGTCGCTGGGTGGGGGTGGCGGGGCTGGGTTGGTTGGTTTGGTCGTTGATGGCCATGTTGGTTGTGAAGGTTGGCACCCACACCCTTTCCAGGGTGGGATGCCCCCCGGCTACTAGCTTGACAGAGCTGGCATCCTTTCGCAGTTTCTGGATGGATCCCGATCATCAGACAACTTCTGGTGTGCGGTGTGTCTGGTGCTTTGTGCTTGGCCCGCCAGGAGGGCACAGCTTGGACATCGTGGGTCGGGGCTGCCCTGGCTGGCAGGAGCTGGCCCACTGGCTGTGCGGACGCGAGGCAGACACACGTGCCTAGCGGGGGAAAAAGCTAATGTTTCGAGAAGAAAACAAACACCTTCCGAGTTGAACCCCCCCGACTTGATTTGTGACAAAGCGGGTGTGCAAAAAAGCATGAGTTGGACCATTTAAATCCCACACTAAAATGAAATACGTTTTGTCCAACTTGGGCTGTTCAATCCAAACCCCCAAAATGAGGCCAACATGAATCGTGATTTGTCAATTGATTTTCTGTCAAAGTTGGACTGTTTCATGTTTATTTTCCAATAAAGATAGCTAACAAAATGGGAGGGGGTTCAACCTTGTCTGGAGCCTCTAACGGGGGTGCTGCCCATGCTGCCCGGAAAAAGAAAAAAGAAAAACAGAAAAACAGGGTGGGGCTTGGTTGGCAATGATCGCATGTCCAGTTTGAGGATTTGTTTCGGAATCGGAAAGCCGGACGGGGCCCTTTGAGTTGCTTGCGTGTTACATCCGCCCATTGCATTTGATCATGGTCCGCTTATCCGGTTGAGATAGGGGACTTGCGCCAAGTCATCATTGTGCCAGGGGGGTTCAATGGCCACTTTGTCGGACAGCCATAGCATTTGGCGATGCAGAAAATGCTGGTTGTTGCCGGCTTACCCCCACAGCGAGCCAGCTTCAAAAGTACGGCACTCTCAGCCTCACACATCACAGCAAGATTCGAGACCTATCACCCTGCCCAGTCACTTTGAGGCCAACAAAAGGCACGAGGCCACATGAGCCACGCGCGTCGCCTTGCCATGGCCGCGCCCCGCGCGGTGCGCGCGGTGCGCGCAGTGGCCACGGTGCGCGCCGCGCGCGCCAAGGGCGCCAAAGGCGCCGAGGAAGCGAGGGCCTCGGTGGCGGCGGCCGCCGCGGGGCAGAGGTACTTCACCAAGACCCAGGCGGGGCCAGCGCCTGGGATTCATTTGATCAGTTCTGACGACCAAAGGTGGGGAAAGCAAAACATGAACGACTTTATTTAAGAATTCTCTTTCTTCTAGCACTGCGCTGTACTGTGTGATGGTGTGCAAATTCTTCGCTATCTTGAATTTTTATTTTGGGGATCCCTATTGGCGGTTTGTGCTGGCGGGGGAACTCGGAGAAATTAGACCCCTCATCTTTGTGGTGGTTCCGTCAGCTTTCCTTGTTGGACAATTCCATCACGTCATTGCGATTATGCGTGAAGGATAGATCAACCACTACAAAAACCACAAAGATGATGGGTGTAACTCCGCCACGCTGCCCCACGCCATTCCATCACAGTCCCCGCGCTCATACCCTAACAAGGGCCAATCGGCTTTGTGTTCGGGGGTTCCCCACTGAAATCAGATGGTTTCTTCTCCAGGGTCACTGGCCAACTGGGAGAGGAACGGCGCCTTCAAGTCAAATGCTTTGGCAACAACCTTGCAGGAGTGGTTTCAAGTGGAGGATGAGGGCGTGGTCACAGTAGGCATCACACAGGCGGGGTTTGGGTGAAAGCCTGTTGGGTGTTCTCTCATGGTAGAGATTCAGCTGGGTTTTCAGTCTGGTTGAAAATAGATGGATTTCACTGGTTCATCGGCGCGTCTCTACACATTGGAACCGATCTTTTTCCCCAAAACGACACCTAGGATGCAACGTGTGCACCGGTTGGGCTGGATGGTCAAGCACGCCCCCTTCGTCCGCTCTGTTTCCCAAGTGTCGATCGAGCGCAGTCAAAGCACGGGTCAGCACTTGGCGTGCTGTGCCCGCAGATTGCCCAGGTATGAAGGCATGCAGAAGGTGCAAATCCAACCCAAATACGCAACCGGTCGCCGCACAAGCCCCATGCTGGCAGAAGAGCGAGCAGTGCACTGTGTGAATGCGCGTGCAGTGCGGCGCACATGGAGGTACAGGATGTTTCCAGCGGTGTTTCTTTGTACGTCCAAACGGCCTGTCCCGCCAGGTCCTGTCAAGAGATCAGCTTTCCATCGCACGCATGCGAGCGCTCCGCGCCTTCGGAACCTCTCAGGCTGCAAGTATGTTGACCCGATCCCAAGGCCAGGCGTGTGCCAGCCCACAGGAAGGCGCATGGTGGGCTTGAAGCTTTGGTCTCATTCCAGCTTAGCGCACCATGCCTCGTGTAATCAACGCTGCCCATCACTAAACGGCATGTCCTACAACTTTGCTGCTTGGACGCCGCAGGGCCTTTCCTAATCCTATGCTCACACCCTTTCCCCAAAGCTTGGAGCAACAGGCGCGAGTCATTGATTTGCATTTGGCTGCCAAAGCAAGCACACGGAAGCTATCCAGCCTGGCAAAAAAAAACCAAATTGGCTTCGTCCAAGGTGTTGTGAGCAAGGCTGACCTATGTCTGGCATGGCATCTGTTTCCTTTTTTCCTTCAAGCGTGCATGCTAGGCACGATGCCAAGCATTCTTGAATTCTGTTGTTTGCCCCTGCTCGAATCCGGGTTGGGAACCTGGAGTGCTAGATATTTTGTGATGTTTCCCTTGTTGAAGTGACTGCTTCTCTGTCCCGCTGTCGCAATGTTCCACCTGGACTGCTGCACACCTCTTCACGTTGCTCTCGTTGTGGTACCTGGCTCGCTGTCCGAACTTTCCGACGAGTTGATCAGGGCTCACGCAATGAGCATGCTTGCTTCCTGTTGGGGGTGGAGGCGGGAAAGTGCCGGGAACATTGAATCCGCACAATCAGCTTGCCCGAGGCGCAAAGGTCGTTTTGCTACGGTTTTAGGTCAGTCTCGGTTTGCATAAGGGAATGAGGTGTCGTGTCAAGTTGCGGGAATCAAGGCTTTAGTGTTTAGGAGTTGGGGGTTGCATGATTTCAGTCTAGGGGACTTGAGGTTTTTGGTCATTGAATGTGTTGCTTTGAAGTATATGGAGAAGACAATTGTCAGAGCAATGCATGGACATCACTTGAACTGTTTGCAATGTGTGGTCTTGGGTTAGGGGCAGTTCTGAGCATAGCAGTTTCTCGCTGTCCAGCTGCGTGGGTGTTAGGGTTTTGGCTTGCATGCCAGGGCGCAGCCGAGAGGGGGGGGGCATAGCAGATTTGAAGAAGGCGTTGGGTGTCGAGCACAGGCTGCGTTGCAACAGGTCCGAATATTTTCAGGTTGGATGCTGGAAGGCTCAGCACATTTCCCAGGGCGACTTCACGCGTTTGGTTTCCCGGTCTTCTGCTTGCCACGACCTGGGAAGGTTTGATCGACCATTTCCAGGTCTTTTGGGCTTCGGTCCAGATAATGGGAGCCCCACGGCTCGGAGGGTGTGAAGCGGATCCCCACTGACAAAAAGGGGCGCCGCTGCAACTCTTTCACGGAAAGCGCTGAGTTCAACCGGGTTCCCACGCATTCTGAAGACGGAAAAAACTGGCAAAAATACACCCGGGGGGTGTTCCGCTAAGAGGGCATCACTCAAGGGACGCTGTCTAGATATTTTCTGCAGGCCCGTTTCAAGCGGCTATGCTTGTGAAGCAGGCCTGGTTTGCTGCAAATCTCCTGGACCTGCCGGTGAAATGAGCTTTTGAGGATCTTTTCTTGGGATGCCTCTCAAATGGTGTGCAAGTGTTCATCGGGCTTGGAGCAACCCAGAATAGTCATCAACATTTCCGGTGTGCATGAGTGACTCTGGACCTCCGACCCCAGTTCAAAAGAAAGCGACCCCTCGATCCTTGAAACCGGCCCCCATTTCAACGCCAACACCCTTTTTCCATTGGCAGTGATCTGGCATTGTAGATGAGCCACGAACTTGGCATAGGGTGTCCCTGCAACAAGTTGATCTTCTGGCCGGGTGCTAAAGTCTGAGGGGTTGAAACGAAGCTTTGCCGGCGAGGTCGCGCAGCGCGCGCTGGGGGAGATCGTGTATTGCCGCCTGCCCGAGCCAGGGACCCGCTTCAAGGCGAAACGACCAAGACCGAAAAAGGACGAGGGATTCGCTTCCGGAAGGGCTTTTTTTTGGGGGGGGGGCCGCCAAAATGGTTGGTTTCCTTCGGGTTTTCCTTTTGCAACCACCCAAAAGAAGGTACCCTCAAAAAGAGGCACACCCAATTGGCTTTGAAATTTTATAGGGAATTGGCTGGTGGACATGAATCGACCCCATTTAAACGATGTCCATCACAGGGTCCTCAATTCAAATGCATACCCATATGGGTATGTGATATGTATCAAAATAGGGGATGCTCAGAATGGTTTACACCCAGGGCAGCCACCCTGAAAAAGGCAGCCACCCTGAAAAAGGGTTCCTCAAAAAGACGGTTCAAAGTGGCTCCACGGCATTCGGCAAACCAGATTCAAACAGCAGGTCCAAGCAAAAACCATCCGGCAAATGTCCCATGGCCTCTTTAGACCGTGGCCCCTTCCAATTTTGGCCTCTGGCTGCGGGAAGCCGCGGTGAATCCCCGCTGGCTTCACCCGGTTTCACGCAGGTGATGGACAGCATGGCCACTCTGGAGGCCTTGAAGTCAGTGGGGGAGGTGCACAGCCCAGTGGCGGGAGAAGTGCTGGAGGTGAACCCCAGGCGCGGAGGGGACCGGTTCCCCCCCCCGACCTGACCCCAAAAGCAATTTGGCGTGGAATCCCCTTTTTCTGGGGGGTGAAGCGGGCTCAGGTGTTTGTATCTTCTTCTTCATGTTTGGCCGGGGGGAGGGGGGGATGGGGCTTGCCCGCAGGGTTATTACTTTTTCCAAGATGGGCGGCAAGCGAAGGCCTTTTGTTTTGCCCCTAAGCCAAGCCCGAAAAAGGTCGCGAAGACACGTGCCGATTCGATTCGGCGACCCAGGCTCGAGCGCCAGCCCTGCCTGGTGACGCGCCAGCCCTTGACGGAGGGATGGCTGGTGCGCTTGTCCTTCGACGGTCGGATCCCTAGGCTGGGACCCGAGCTGCGTGAGACGTTCGCCCGCAGGTTGAGTTGGTTTGCAGGTGGTTCGCATCAGGTTGGGACACAAGATGGCTGAAGGGATGGAGATGCTGGGGAAATGACCGCTGTCTGTTTGTCTGTCTGTCTGTCCGTCTGTCCGTCCGTCCGTCCGTCCGTCCGTCTGTCCGTCTCTCCGTCTCTCCCTCTCTCCCTCTCTCCCTCTCTCCCTCCCCTCCCTGCCTCCCTGCCTCCCTGCCTCCCTGCCTCCCTGCCTCCCTGCCTCCCTGCCTCCCTGCCTCCCTGCCTCCCTGCCTCCCTGCCTCCCTGCCTCCCTGCCTCCCTGCCTCCCTGCCTCCCTCCCTCCCTCCCTCCCCTTCCCTCCCCTCCCCTTCCCTCCCCCCCTCCCCTCCCCTCCCCTCCCCTCCCCTAAAAAATGGAGAAAGTAGGGGGCCTGGGGGGTGGTCTGTTGATGGTCCCCTGTTGTGTTTTTTATATTCATCTCAAACCTATTAACCACCTTATCCGTTTTTAAAAGAGGGTTTTTAGGGAGCTTATTTATCGTTTTCGTTAAGGTAATCATTTGGGTAAATTGTCGCCTTGTTCATTGTTGGGCTGGGGGCCGACATTTTTTTCATTTGAAAGAGTTAACCCTTTTAGTAGTGTGATTAGCCATGATTCATATCATCATCAGGGACGTCGCGTTAGTGACCGACCTGTGGTGTTTTGGCTCAAGTTTTGGGTTCCGTCGCGCCTCGAATGGGCGTCGCCGAGCCCCTGCGTCGACCGACGGCATCTCGGGGGAGAAAGAGACCTCGGGCCGCCGCCAGGTTGGTAGGGACCAGTCGTGCGGCCTGTTGTCGACCAAGGTTGCGGGTTAACCCTTTTCTTGTTTGGTTTGTTTTCCTTTGGTTGTTGTTCTCTGGTGTGTGGTAAACCCTGATCTTTGGGACCGGGGATTGGTTTGCTTTTGGGGAACCTTTCTTTTGTGGCTTGTTTACCCCAACTTACCCATTGCCTGGGCACAGGCTCGTGCCCGAATCACAGGTTATCAGCCGTAGGACTTTCCTACGCGCTTGAGGCCATCAACTACAAGCTCTATGTCGACCCCACGATCTCGAAGGAGCGTCGTGGATGAGGAGGCCATCCTAGGGGGCCTCCGCTCAGGTGAGGACCTACCGGACTATGACTACGAGGATTTCGAAGCAGGTTCGACAGGTCAGGATCGCAGGGGTGAAGATCCCGGTAGGGACACACCCAGGAGCCGTGGCAGGTACACCGACGATGGAGACGACCGCATTTTCCGTCAGGCCACCGATGATGAGCAGACACGGAGGGTTCGCTCCGATAGGAGCGGCTCTGAATCAGGTCACAGGCGCGGACAGTTCGACTTCATCAGCATGGCGATGAACATGGCCCGCCCCCATTCGGACGACCCGGAGGCTATGCCGACCCGACCCCCGAGATCTCTTGTTCCAGGTGAATCGCAGGTCTCGGATGAGTTTGAGGACAGGCCGCAAGGACCAGGGACTATGGTTTTGGCTCCGAGAGATATCTCGGGTCGATCCACTGGTTCTCAAAATCCAGGTCAGTTTGATGAGCACGAGGAGCGGAAATTCTCAGACTTCGGATACGATGCTCTGTTGAAATCAACCGCAGGTTGGGGCAGTAGCTCAAAGCAGGGATCTGATGCCGGTAGGCCCAACCCTAATACTGCCAAATCTGAGTCTTATGATGGCGAAGATTACAATTTTGCGGATGAGGAGGAGGACCAATCACGCCGAAATGCTAGGATCCGTGATGCTGCGAGGCCTAGGAGCCTCTCTCGTGGAGCCGCCAGGGACCTTCGTGTTGACAGGGACGCCCGAGGCGAGAGAGAGAGAGCCAGGGATAGTCGGGAAGTTCTTCGGGGATTGGAGGCCATCCATGATCGTGAGGGACCGATAGGTCCCCCAGCGATTGGTGATACCCCGAATGTTCCCCCTTTTCCCAACATTACCTTTGGAGGTCCGTTGAATCAGAGAGACGTGAACTCGAACCGGGTTACTGGTTCGCCGAGGATCACTGAGCGGGCTGCCGATATCGTTAGGTCAGGTGCCAGAGATGGTCGGCTTGCCGATGCACTCGGGATCGAAGATCGTCCGTCGATCGCTAGCCCGTTAGGGCGAGATACCAGTGACCTTGAAACGCTAAGGTCTAGCAACGAGTTCACACCTCAATGGGGCTCGACCGCCAGGGAACGTAGTGTTTCTGCGAAGAGGCCGTCACCCCTCGCCATTGAGACCGATAGGTCGAAGGCGAGGAGAGCTAGCCCCTCACCAATGGGCTCAACTCCGCAGGATGAGGAGATGCCCGATCCTGCTGATGTTCACATTCACTCTACCCCCGAGTCTCGTGCATCCAACATTGATCCCCGGTCTGGCGATAGCTGGAGAAGGGGATCTACCCCGAGTAGGCCACCCAGGATTGATGATTGTCCTGTAGGCGACCCCAGAAGACATGCCGGGGCTAGTGGGGCTCCTGAGAGGATCGAGATATCGACTCCTCCTGCCCTCAGATCCCAGTCTTCCGGCGAGTCAGGTGATGCTAGGGCAAAGGAAGTGTTCGATTTGCACATCCAGGAGATGCTCGAGAGGGGTGAGGTTTCTGGCTCAGTCGCGAAGGCGTTCCATATTTTTGCTGACCAAATCAGGTTACTGAACGGTCAGGTGAGTTCCATGCGGAGGGAATGGAGCGACGAGAATCGACAGACGAAGGACAAGGTCGGTCGCCTGACAGCTGAGATTGCGACTCAATCTGATGCCGGTAGGATGCGAATGATAGTTCAACGGTTTGCCAGGGAAGTTATTCCCGACAGCAAAGCTATCGTAAGGCAAGCCATCGATGAACAGGCTGAAGTTGTGGAACAGAGGATCAATCTGCTTTCACACGAGGTTCATGAATCTGTTAAGGACAATGAGGCCGCGACAGATCGGCTTCGCCAGATGATTCAAGAGAATCGTGAGGCCGTCCACAGGAGCCACGCTGCTTCCGAGGATGAGATCCTTAAGGACTTGGACAAGCTCGAGGGACGGATGTTCTCGGTAGAGAAAACCGTCGGGATGCGGACGCCAGCAGGTGAATGGGATTTGAATCCTGTCGCGCAACCGTCCGATAGGGCTAGCAGCAGCGGGGTGAACGCGAATTTCAGGGAGCTAAACCTGAAGCTCGAGAAAGCTCTCCTTGAACATGAGAAGTTTGCTAAGTGGGCCTCCGAATCTATTGGTGGCATTAATGAAGAGCAAACCCTTCTTGCTAATCGGATGTCGAGGCTGCAAAGTGGAAGGGGGTCACAGGCGATCGATAGATCATCAGGGCCTGTGTCCCCGCAGGACTGGCATGAAGCAATTGACGAAGTCAATCGAAAGGTCCAGGATCTATCTCGCGGAGTTCAACGCCACCATGGGGATCATGACGATGTCCTTGCGAGGTTCGAAACCTTGAAGTCCCGTGTTGAGCAGTACGAAGCGAGTTCGGGGATTCTGAATCAAGTTCTTGATGACACCAGAAGGCAGATTCGCAATCTCCCTGCGAATAGTGATCAAGCACGGTCCGCCGTTAGGCGTGAAATCGACTCATTCCGGAGTACGCTTGAAGGCGCTATGCGGAGAATCAGCACTGTCGAGAGTAACGTGCGTACTCTTAATGGAATGAACAACAGAATCATGGCTCAGCTCTATGAAATCGAAGGTCATGTCGATGAGGCTGCTGGCATTATTCAGGGTGTCCAGGATAATCAGGTAAACCCTCCACAGCCCAGAGAGAGACGGAACGTTGGATACGACGCTTTCGCGGGGCAGGGACACAGAATCAGGTCTCCGACGCCCACTCCCGGAGAAGGTAACGGTCGGGGTACTGGCCTTCCGGTGAGACCGGGCGGAGGTGTTGATTTGGTTGATCACGCTTTGCCAGATGTGCCCGGTAGGGTCGATCCTTCCCAAGCAGGCAGGCATCCCATTAATCCCGATAGGGAGAGGGCTGACAGCAGAAGCAGGAGGGCTCGGGGACTGCCTGACAGGTCGCATTCACCGCCAGGGCGTGCGAGGGATGGCCCCCGCGCACGTGCAAGGGGGGACATTTCTGTTTCTCCCAACAGGGATGTGGGTAGGAATAGGAGCCCGAGGCCTGCTGCCGTCCCCGATAGGGGATCTGAGGTCCGGAGTCGGCAATCGAGGGGGGAGAGGCCGATCCGCGATAGCGGGAGCATCTCTCCGAACCTGGATAGGCCGATCCGCTATAGCGGGAACGTCTCTCCGAACCCAGACCGTCATCCAGGAGGTGGTAGGGATAATAGGGCCCATGCCGACATCCAGAGTCCCGGCGATAACTGGAGGACTCCTGGGAGTAGAGCTAGTGCCGATATCCAGAGTCCCGGCGATAGCTGGAGGACTCCTGGAGCTCCATCTGATCGTGGACAGGCGTCGGCACCGGCCGCAAGAGGAGCTCCCGGTACCGGTGGCCCAGGTGCGCCAAAGATTTGTGCCCTCGACAATCCCAACGACCGTAGGCACCCGGACGCTGAATTCTCGTGTGTTACGTGCAATCGTGAGTTTTGCAGGCTTTGCCGGGGTGACGACGGGGGCTGTTGCAATTGTCAGTTCTTGAAAATGAAGTGTTGGGCATGTCGCAAGAATGCCCAGGAGGTCTCAATGTATTTCTGCACGGATTGTGGGAACCACGTTTGTGAGGATCACAGTCATTTTGGCAGTGATGGCCTCGAGCGATGTGCGCGCTGCAATATTCGGCATGAACGTGCTAACGCTGGACCGCCTCCTCCTCCCCCTCCTGGGGGAGGAGGTGGGCAAGGCGGACCACCCGGTCAAGGTGGGAGCGGAAGCGGTGGTCACGGACATGCTCCATTTCCACCACCAGGTCCCGGACATCCTGGCGGAGGCCAAGGTCCCGCTGGACCTCCTGGAGGCCCAAGTGGTGGGGCTCCAACCGGGGGATACCCTGGTGGAGCACCTGGGTTC